TAAGGTAAGGTAAGGCAGGCAAGCACGGCTGCACGGAAGATGCCCAAGCTCCCCTCTATTGATTGCACTTGCTTCAATTGCTCTGCGGATTTTGCAATCGGAAGGCAGCTCAAGATATCGAGGTAAGGGGTTTCTTTCCAACCCAATGGCAATGGCAATGTCATGGTCGGTCAATGGTAGTAGGAGCGTTGCATTTATTACCTGCCTTGCCTTACCTAAGTTGTTAAGGCAGGTACTTCCCGCAGGGTGCTTACCTTACTTCGCTCAGTAAGGGTACTTCCAGGACCATTCATCTCGGTCAGCGGCTGCTCAGTTCACCAAGTCTTCATCCCGTCTCAAGCCCCATTTCATGTCTCCCGTCTCTCCTCGTGCCCCAGTACGACGAAATCTCTGTTCATACGGTTGCAATCACTAGCAGAGACTTTGTCGCAACAAGAAACCATCTCCCTGTCGGCGTAATTAAGGCCAGCTCAAACAGACTATGGACTAAAAAAAAGTAGAAGCTCGGCCAAAAAAAAAAAAAAAAAAAAAAAANCCGGGCAAAAAAAAAAAAAAAAAAAAAGCAAACGCCTTCATCTCGTCTCTCGGTGCTTTCCCCTCCCTCCAATCACCCCAATCCCGACTCCCCCTTCCCCTCCCCTCTTTTTGCCAGCTTCCCCTCCATGTCTCTCCGAGCTGGCAGCTGGGGGCGCTCTGCGCTCAAAGTCGTCCGTCGCATAACAACCATCACATCATACCGGCCTCGACCTCAAACCAGAATCGACCATCATGTCCGCTGTTGCATGCACCATTTAGCCTCTTACGCCCGTACGTACCTACTTATCTTCATACAATGGCATCCGTATAGGCTTAGAGTGCAGGTACATGTCTGCAGTGCCGGAAGCTGCCTTTCCAAGGACGTCTGCACCTAAGACGGGCATGCAGTCTGCCGTCACGGCGCACATACGTCAACCAGAAACGAATCTCGGTGGCCAATACTTTGCATCACTTGCTTACAGACCTACGAATACCGGCCCAAACAAGGGCCTGTCCTTGCGTCCTTACGAACCACTGTCTGCAGACTGGCTCGCTGCATACCAACTGGCCGGGTCCGCGGCGTCTGAGGTGATCCCAAAACCCCAGCCATTGAAGTCGGCCATGCCCTGTCTTGCCCTGCAGTCTCCTTTCAGTGTCTTGCTCCAGTCCAGATTCAAGACCCGTGGTGCCTCAGTTTCTTCCTCTCTCTCCACTGACACTGGACCCCCGCCGCAGCCAGAGACCGGCGACCACCACATCGACCGCGACCGTAACGGCGACCCTGACTGACCCTTGGCCGTTGGAACCCTGGCCTTACCGCACCGCATGGCGCACTACCACTAAAGCCGCCCAACGATCAGCAAGTTCCGTCAAGCAGAGACGTCCATCCGGCTGCTAAGATTGTTCAAGGATCGACCGTCAGGTCGAAGCTCCAGCAGCACGCAGTCAACTGGAGTAGAGCACCGACTGATACTAACCGACTTGGAGATAGCTAGCTAGCAGGCATGCGAGCTTCTACGCTTCTGCGCTCCTCCCGAGTCCCGAGGCAATCAGTTATTGGCCTTGGACCACAGACAGGGCCCAGGACCTGCACCAGCTGTCCTAGCTCTCCTACCCTCTCAAACACGCCAGCTTCGAGTCGAAGACGGGAGATTGGAGCTAACATCCAGGTCCAAGGTCCCGAACCGCACCCGAAAGACTTGCTTTGGCATAACTCTTGGTGACGAGGAGAGCTCAGACTGGCACGATATACCGTAATTAGGCACTCAGCATCTATTCTGGGTACGAGCTTCTGTAGCACGATGCGCCGCCGTGGCTACAAGCACGCCCCTCCTCCTCCTCTGCTTCCACCTCTTCTAGCGCCCGAGACCTGGCATCGCTCTTGTGCTTATTCAACTCGAGACCTCTCTCGATTCGAGTACCACGAAAAATGCTCTGCGACTCTTCGGTGTTTTCTTAACCTTCTAGGCCAGTTCGTCCCGCCTGTGGTGGAGCTTGTGTGTCCCCCCTAGGCATCGTCTTTTTGTGCCTAGCGTCGCGGGACCTCTAGCCTTGCCCGGGTGATGGAAGTGAGGGGCAGTCATCCAACGAAAGAGATTGTGGTGGGCTATCCATGGGAAACATCACACTGTGCGAAGTGAGGGCGGGAGCACTACCTCATGGCATCATCTCATCATGTCTGATCCTCCTTTCTGTCCACCATCTCCAACACCCCGGACGGCCTACAGCCCCGTGTGGCTCTACGCGTAGGTAGGCTCATCGACTCGTTTTTTGGGACACTTGCCTCTAAGCGAGAGAACAATGTCAAAGAAGTGGTGCGTATAGCGAAGAAGAAAGGACACCGGGTAGCAGGCGCTTAGAAATACAAGATTTCTTGACATTGATTTCCGCAGGGCCTGACAGTCCACTTCGGCCGAGATGATTTCCAATATTGGCCAAGGTGCCTTGGGCGACTTTGTTCAGAGTAATACTATGCAGTATGGCAGATGTGGTAGTGGTGACTGAACACGGCGCGCGGCGGCGGCTCCTCCCAGATGACCCCAGATGACGAGATGAGATCATGAGAGGCACGTTGCAATGTGCAGCAACATCTGGAGGTGGTATTTCACGCAATATGGTTTCTTCTTCGGCAGCGGCACATGGAGGAGGTTCCAGCAGCACCAGGCCAAGCCCAGCTCTCAGCAGCCCCGTCCGTCACCCATCCAGCAGGCGACCAGTGAGGATGGGCGGGCTCGTCGGCAACTCGATTCGTCTTGCCCTGTCACACACGTCTTTGGGACTGCTCGTTGGCTCATCGAGGCTTGTACTGAGTTTCTGTCTGTCTTGGATTGCTTGCCTTACTCTTCCTCACCTCGGAATCAGTCCCAGTGGCACACACATCACGTACTGATATCGAGGCGCGGGATGGATTGCGGCACACTGTCTTACTTTGAAGGCAAGGTAGGTAGTGTTCGCACATGCATGCCTTAGGTAAGGCGAGGTCGTGGTGCGTCCTGGCCAGGGCTCTCTCCGTCATCTCATCGCGCAGGATGAAAAGAAATAAAAATAAAAAGAGGGGATACACTTTCGGGGCAATTGGAAGTGTGAGCCTGTGAAGTGAGTGCGAGGGGCGGGGCGGGGGGAGGGGAACGGGGGAGACAGAAGTCGGGCGGTACGTATCCAAGAGGTACCGTCCATCTCCCCACCACACCAAACGGCCACACGGCCACACGGCCCCCAGCCTAACGTTAGCCCAGGCCTGAGTCCCGTCTCCGTCCATTCATCGTTCCGTTTACCCACGCCCAATCCCACTCACACGCCACGACCAGTGAGTGCACAGTCTCCCATGTGCCCCTGCCCCACCTTCTGAGTGAGAAAGTGTTTTTATTTTATTTTATTATGTTTTTTCGAAGTGGGAAGATTGAGAGGGGAGCTGCTGGTGACGACGGGTGGGGAGAATGGGAAGAGACAACCACCACACGCATGCCTCACACACACTCACCCTCTGCTGATTGGTATTGCTGAGCAAGAGACAGGCTGTGGCAGCCAATCCAAAGACTTGCTGCAGATACCGACGAGGCCGAACTGCACCGCATCTCTATCGTCCCGTTCTTTCCTGGCCTGTCATCTTCCTACGTCTCTTCGTCCCGCAGCTTTCCCCAAGACCCAGTCCTGCAGTCCAGATAGCAAGAAAAGTGACCCCGAACAGTGAACTGCCAGGCAGCCCGAGCCCGGCTTAGAGAGGTCATCCCCGTCCTCATCCACCAGAAAACAACAACACAATAACAAGTCAACAACGAAGCAGAACCCACACAGTCCGGAATCCACCCTGACTCCATCCAAGCACAGCCAGCAGCCAGTGACAGCCACACTAGCGTCACAGCGAGCCCGGTCCGTCAATCAGTGCCACTGCCCATTGTCTACGGATACCGTACCGCCCAACCAGCACGGAACAGATACCGCTGTACCTTACCCTGGATATGGGTTTTTTTTTCGCCGCCGCCTCTCCCATTGCTGCCGGTGTGGTCCTGTTTCCTCTTCTGTGGCGTGTGTGTGTGCGTGTCCAGTGCGTGTGCGTGTGTGTGCTGGCTGGTATCCGTACCGCCGGCGCAGACAACTGGTCCTGAGAAATCCAGATCCCTCAGTTCCTTGTTGATGACATTGCTGCTACTATGCTACTTCCCAATCAATACCACGCAAGGTGCGCCGTACATACCAGCCGCCATACTTCAGACGCCCAAACATTAGACACCCTTTCCCGGTCCAGCGTCCCAGTCCCAAATCCTGGTTCCAGGTTTCCCAATCCCAGTCCCGTTCTGTCGAAGGAAGAAACAGAAAAAAAAGAAGAGGGAAAAAAAAAAAAAAAAAGCTACGTCTACATTACGGATACCTGACCAGCCAGTGACCACCACCTAACCTCTACCTTATCCCGAGCACACGCACATACTGGACGGCAGGGAAGGCCACTGGACAAGGCCAACAGGCATAAGGCACACAAGACACAAGGGGGGGAAGACACGAACAGCATCGCATTGTGCCCGTACCGCATATTATTATTATTATTTTCCTCCTCACACACCCTCCTACAATTCATACCCTCTTTACACCTCTTGCACTATTACCATTGCCGCCGACTGCTGCCGCTGCTGCTGCTCCTGCGTAAAATATACACACACAGACAGCCCGACCCGACACAGCTAAGCAAAGCAAGCAAGCTACCTACTACTGGCGACTGCGTACCTTTCATTACTGCGTCTGTCTGTCTGTTACCTCCATACCTTATCCTCGCCGTATCTATCGTAAGGTACCGTACCGACACTTTTGCTGCCCGCCCTGCTGCTGCTGTACCGCACCGCTCCGCACCGCAGCGCCAGCCGTCCGTACCTTTCCCTTTTCCTCCTACCTTCGCTTCCCAAGTCCCAGGCCGGGTCCCCTTCTTTCTTTCTTTCGACGACGACCACCTCCGCCGGTTTTGGTTTTACTTTTAGACTTTGTAGGGGCGTATCATGGACGGCAGCCAGAGCACATCCACGTCCAACGGCTCGTCGCAACGTCGCAGGCTCACCAAGAAACCTCCCCCTTCGTACCATACCCACACCCGCTCGTCGAGTGGCCTCGATGGTGGCATCGACACCAGGTCTCTCCAGAGCAAACGCAGCTCGACCAGCTTGAAGCGCGCTCCTTCCGCTCCACCTGTGCGGACGACCCCCTCAAACGCTGCTTCAGCTCATAGTTCTCCCCGTCACCTCCCCTCAAGTCAGACGCACCTTCCCAATCCCTCCCCCATCCTGCCTCAGGGTCAGTTCGCCGCCGCCAACAACGCCAACGCCAACTCCCTCTCGCTCTCACTCTCAAACAACTCGCACTCACACTCCGTCGCTCCTTCCCCCAGTGCTGCGTCCTTTCATAACACCAGCATTAACCACCTTCACAACCACCACCAGCCCGCCGTGAACCTGAACCAGACCCAGTCCGCGTCCCACCCGACGACAGCTCAGGTGCAGGCCCAGGCCCTGGCGCAGCCTCAGACCTCCTCCTCCTCCACCTTTCACAACGCTGCTTCCGCTTCCTACGCTGTTCACCCTCACCACCAGCAGAACTTTAGCCACCAAAACAACAACAACCACCTCCTCCACCACCACAACCTGCTGCACAACAACTTCCCGACCAACAACAACAGCAGCTCCTCCTCCAATTCCAACAGCAGTCCCGTCGGCATCGGTGTCGGTGTTGGCATCGGCATCGCACACTCCAGTGATTCCGTAGCAGCTGACCCCAGCGCGCCTCTCTCGTCGCAACCCCACGACGAATTCATCGGCGCTCCCTTCGACGGCGCTGCCGTCCTGAGCCGCATCGAGCAGACAAAGTCCCCCGTCGCCCAGTCTCACCCGCTGCCTCTCCAGCACCCGCACCCTCACCAGCATCAGGCACCCGCCGCCTACCAGCGCCAGAACGCTCCCACGCCGCTGCTCAAGTCTGTCACCGACACGCGCATCACAAAGAGCCCCCGACTGCGACAGTCCCAGAGCTTCACGAACGATTCCCCCTCCTCAATGATGAACGAAAAATCACAAGGCGGTCGGGTGACGGAGAACTCAATGATCAGCCCCAAGAGATACTCGGACGAGGCAAAGGAGCCCCGTATGGGCGTCCTGCGCAAGAAGTCGGGCTTCTCTGGCTTCATGAACAGTCTGGTCGGCACCCCAAAGAAGCCTGTCATCTCCGCACCAGAGAATCCCGTCCATGTCACCCACGTCGGCTACGACAGCTCTACCGGCCAGTTTACCGTCAGTCGCCCCCCTCTCCCCTTCCTGCTCCTGCCTCTTTTTTGCAATCGCTCCTCAATTCTTGGATTGCCTTATTTCTTGCCTCTTCTTTTTTTTTCTTCCCCTCTCGCCTTCCTCTTTTCGTCCCCGCCCCCTCTCCTTTGTCCCGAATCTCGTGTGGCTGACGTGTGATTGTTCAGGGTCTTCCGAAAGAATGGCAGAGATTGATCAACGAAAGTGGAATTCCCGAGAAGGAACGCAGGGAGAACCCCCAGACCATGGTTGACATCATCACATTCTACAAGGAAACGACCGAAAAGCCAGCCGAGGATCAGGTTTTGGAGAAGTTCCACGATGCAAGAGCGCCTGATTACCGTCAATATGCAAATGCAAGCAACTCACCGTCGGGTGCCATGTCGCCGGGCATGTATCCGCCAACAACTTATATGGGTATGTCTCCGATGATCAGTCCACCTGCGAGCCCTAGGTTTCCAACTGTCAATCATGAAGGATCTTTTGAGAACCCCCGCCAACCGCCCCCCGTACCAGGAGTCGGAGGCTCCAAAGGCCCCGGTAAAGATGTGAATCTCATGCCCAGTCGCCCGGCACCGAAGCCCCCCGTCAGCCTCCCGATGAGGTCTGCTCCGTCGCCCTACCCCGCCAAGGACTCCGGCATTGGAATGTCTCAGCCCGGCGAAGACCTGCCCCCGGTCGCATACCAACCGCCCAAGGAGAACGTCCCCATGCTCCCCGAAGAGCATCGTGGAGAGCACCGATCCCGATCCCGATCCAACTCGCGTGTTGGCGCCTCGCCCGGCTACGTCCCCCCCACACCTAACCCTCAAAATGCTCAGGCGAACGTTTACCAGCAGCAACTCATGCAACAGCAGCAGGAGCAGGCCCTCGCGCAGGCTCAGGCCGCCATGACTGGCCAGGGCCAGATTGGTCGCGCTCCCAGCAAGAGACAGCCCGCCCAGCAGCCGACCCCTCCTCAATCGCAGTACCCTCAAGGCCCCACCGCAAACGGAGGTCCCGGCCAGCGACAGCAGGTTGGCGTGGCTGGTGCCCCTGGCTCCAGGCCCCGTCGCCAGAGACAGAGCACCGGTATCGACGTCGTCGCCGCCCTCAAGCGCATTTGTTCCGATGGCGATCCCCGTGAGGTGTACAAGAACTTCAACAAGATTGGCCAGGGTGCTTCCGGTGGCGTGTACACGGGATACGAGCGAGGCTCCAACCGATTGGTGGCTATTAAGCAGATGAACCTGGAGCAGCAACCGAAGAAGGACCTGATTATTAACGAGATCTTGGTCATGAAGGACAGCTCGCACCCCAACATTGTCAACTTCATCGACAGCTACCTTTGCGGAGGCGAGCTCTGGGTTGTCATGGAGTTCATGGAGGGCGGTAGTCTCACGGATGTTGTTACCTTCAACATCATGACTGAGGGACAAATCGCTTCCGTCTGCCGAGAGACGCTGAAGGGTCTGCAGCACCTGCACTCTAAGGGAGTCATCCACCGCGACATCAAGTCCGACAACATTCTCCTTTCGATGGAGGGCAACATCAAGCTGAGTACGAACCCCCTCGTTCCATTGCGGTTCGTGGAAATACTAACGTTGAACAGCTGATTTCGGATTCTGCGCGACAATCAACGAGGCCCAGAACAAGCGCACTACGATGGTCGGTACGCCGTATTGGATGGCCCCCGAGGTCGTCACGCGTAAGGAGTACGGACGCAAGGTCGACATCTGGTCTCTGGGTATCATGGCCATTGAGATGATCGAGGGCGAGCCGCCATACCTGACCGAGTCTCCTCTGAGAGCCCTGTGGTTGATCGCCACAAACGGCACCCCTCAGATCAAGGAGGAGGCCCAGCTGTCACCAGTTTTCCGCGACTTCCTCTACTTTGCACTCAAGGTCGACCCGGAGAAGAGAGCCAGCGCGCATGACCTCCTTAGAGTAGGTTCTTCCCCCACAGGTTCAAGACACAGTGTACTGATTTCCTTGTAGCATGAGTTCATGAAGGGATGTGTTGATCTCGCTCAGCTCTCACCATTGGTCCGCGCCGCTAGGGAAGCACGTCTCGCAGAGAAGGCGAGGAAGGGACAGTAGGGCACCTTCGGCCATGCGTCCAGAAGCATCTTTCGGCGGTTGGCTCATCGACATTAATCACGACCTTGACGACAACCACAAGCCTCCACAACTGGGCTGTCCTTACCTGTGCATTGAGATACCCCAGGAAGTTTTTTTGTTTGCCTTGGCACAAACAACTCGATGCCTTGCATCTACTCAGAGCACGCTTTCGTTCAATCTGGAACCGACCCCACGTGGGTCTCTTTCAGATTCACTAGGAAGACTAGTGCATTGAGTGCGCGCCATGGTTGGCAGACTTTCGAACCCGATCATAACTCTACTTGCTTTCAAAGATACCACGTCAGAGGAGACCAGCCCAATTCGGCATGGACTCTCTGGCCTTTCCTTTTTTTTTTTTTTTCCGACGACTTATGCGCGCATCCCATCCAGCATCAGCACTTGTTGGCGACCAAGCAAAGTCTCTTTACTCATGGTTCTTTCTGTTACGCATTACATAGAGGCGGCCACGATCACGGACTCGCCAGCTTGCCTCAATGCCAGGCCTTTGGTTGTATACGGACAACCCTCTTATCTCATTGGATTGAGACATCCACTTTGGGCCGATCATGTTTCCGTGGGGGTGGTGACAAATGTCACCTAGGAAAGTCGGTCGTTGAGAGAAGAGATGAGACGATGAATCGCATGATCTGATTTGGCCAGCGGGAATGGGCGGCCAACTCAAATTTTGGGGCAGGCAGGCAAACCCCCTTTCAAACCTGTCGTGTGGGATTTGTTTTCTCTGTTTTCACGGAACATCCGAAAAGAAAAGGGGATCGATTTTTTCAGACGAGACGTCGACGGACAGATACGAGAGGCCAGGTTCTTAGGCTTTCATTTCTCCTGGTCCCATGTATCTCTTTTCCCACACAGGGGGAACTCTCTACAGGTCGTGCACGCAAGAGGAACAATCACCGAGGTGATTTGGTCTAGACTCGACTAGGTACAGGAATGACCCCATTCAGGCCGAGCAGGCCGAGGAAAGTTAAAAAAAAAAGGTGTCTCTCGTTCCCTGCGTGATGTGTGATGTCGGACCTGCGATCTTGCTTATTTCCATTGTCGTCCCTCCGTGCCTCGCGCCCTGGCTGCGTCTTGATCTGAGATTTTAGACCTCAGCCTGCAGAAGTATCATACAACCCTTGGGGGGAAAAGACTTCAATGGATGGGACCCCTATTGCCACTCACGGCTTGTCTTGGTCTCGTTTGCGTCAGTAACGTGCGTCAAGTGGGGGTTCGTGGCTTTTCTTTTTTCTTAATTTCCAGTGGCTTGCTAATTTTTTTTCTCGAGTCTTTCTTTTCAGGGTCTTGTTGTCTTCTCAGGCGTAAAGGATTTTCCATGTTTGGCATTGTTCTGTGGTCTTTGTCTGGTAAGTCTGGAGGGCAAGGACGGGACAAAGGAACTTGCTTGTTTGAAAGGGTTGGTGGTAGTCGACAAAGGGGAGGGACGTTGCATTGTTCCAGGTACTTGCGGCTTGGACTTGGGAGCCTTGATGAGGGGTTTGATGAGTTGATTGGGATGGCAGGACGGCGAGGGTGGATTTCCGTATAGAGATCGTGAGGACGGTGATGATGAGAGAGATGGTGGTTGGTGATGGTGAATCGTCGCCGTCGGAAATGACAGGGTTGGATTGAAGGCTCTCAAGACCTTTACCGTTCTGAAACCAGCATCAGGACATGTTTCTCAGGAGATAACTCGAGACTGTGGCCAAGGGTTAGTTTACTCCGTCCTGACCATCGCAGTCTCGGGGGGGGGGGGGGGGGNGGGGGGGGGGGGGGGGGGGGGGGGGGGGGAATTCCGATGTTGGGAGATTCGGGATGCCTGCCTCTCGTCGTGCGTTGCTAGCTGAGATCTGTGTTCTCTCCACGGCACCTTTTATGTTTCGGCAGCTATAGGAGGGAGTATGGCCTCGCGGTCCGTTCTTGGCTTTTCTTCCCTCTGCTATCGACGACTCGTCTTCGGCGGCATTTGTTTGGTCTCCTTCACGCTGCGGGAACTGCAATTGTCGCCACTCGCAACCTTTCCTTTGCCCCCGTCGCTCGTGCAGGATTTGTTGTGATGAGTAAAGTCGTGCGAAACGTATCTCGAGTTGAAAACGTTCCCTTGTTGAGTTTGCTGGCGAGCTTGGTGCACGTAAGCAGAGAAGTCACCGACAAACCTGTCTGGACAATCCTGGATGTGTCCCAGGTCGCCACCACTGATCGAATCGGTATCTTGATGGGAGAGACCGATCAAGCAGGCCTCGTTTGTGTATCATCATTGCTTGGGGACTCTCGTGCTGGATGGGGAGCCGAAGGGGAACATATAGCTAGCTCCCTTGTCGACAATGTCATGGGCATATATACGTATAAGAGGCTGTATGTGTAACCCACTGCCTCGGTACATTGTATCGAGAGCCTCGGCTGCGAATCTTCATATCCACAACGAAGGAAGGCATCCAGATCAAGTCCATCACCAACGCAACTTGAACCGTCGAGGCCGCAGTTGCACGTCGGGTGAGCAGCTCACCAGCGACACGTTCTCATACTATCAACAAGTAGCAAGTCAAACATTACAATACGATCACAATGTATGTTAAACCCTCAGCGCTTCGTTTGGCGTTGAGCCTTTGGTCATACCCGAGCTACAAAAACGTATTCGTGACGAGTGTCCGGCAAACCCTCGCGGGACGTTGTCTGTCGATAGAACAAACGATGCGGATGTGGAAGCTATGGAAATCACCTAGTCAGTTTCTTCAAAGTCAATGTCTCAGAAACGCACTTGTGGCCATTTCAAGCTCGAAAGCTGCATCAAGAACCTATCCCAGAGTGGCTTGGTTCCGGACTTGAGCTGTGTGCGTTCGAGCATTACATCGGGCCACGAGGTCAACAAGAGCAGGTGTTTTGTACAGCACATCATTGACCGCGAACAGCTGGAAATCACCTGCTTCTCACCTAGCTTCTCGGCCTTATCGGGGGAACAATCAGAACAGCAGGCCGATGGAGTCTCGTATACTTATGGCTCTGGGAGAAAGTAAGCTACCCACAATTGAGACGGCACAGCTTGCTAACCTGCTAATTCACGCGTACTGAGTTGCTCACATGTTTTCCATTCATAAGCAGAAAAAAAGATGGGTAATAGTACATGTCGCGATACCAACACAGGCTTTGAATGGATCCTGGTCTCCTCATCCTCGCTTCCCAACCCGGACATTCCCCTTACATTTGCTATTACTCCGTCCATAGACACCAAAAAAGCGCAAATACAACGATTGGACTGCCTCCGGAGAGGTTTAGTTCTTAGGGAAGGCCGCCTCCATACGCTGCTTGTACTTGTCCTTGATGACTCTCCTGTTGAGCTTTTGTGTGGCGGTGACAAGGCCCTACGACGAATGTTAGCTGGAACACGGGCGTGGCAGAACGTTATCTCATTGGGACTTACGCTATCCGGGGTCCACTCCTCCTCGACGAGGACAACACCACCGACGATCTCAAGGCCGGTCAGACCGGCTTTGCGGCCGGCGCCAACGAGATCCTTAAGAACGGTGTCGACGACCTTAGAGTTGGTGTGCATGTCGTGCTCGTCAACGCCAAGCTTCTGAGCCTCCTCGGCGAGGACCTTCTCGTTGGGGGCGATGACGGCGATGGCGCGGGAGTGCTCGCCGTCACCGTAGACCATGATGTTCTGGACAAAGTGGCTGCCGCGGTAGACGGACTCCAGCTTCTCGAGAGCGATGTACTCACCACCCTGCATCTTGACAAGGTTCTTGACACGGTCGATGACCTTCAGGTGGCCGACGGAATCGAACTCGCCAATGTCGCCAGTCTTGAACCAGCCATCCTTGGTAATAGCCTTGGCCGTCTCCTCCGGGTTCTTGTAATACTCCTTGAGCACGGCGGGGCCCTTGATCCAGATTTCACCCTGGGGCGGGGTCGAGTCGGTGGAGTAGTTGAGATCCGGGATAGACACGAGCTTGACATCAACGGCGGCAGGAATGGGGCCGATGGCGGTGGAGGTGTATTCGAGTGGGTCGCCGAGAGCGCCGTTGGCGGCCGTCTCGGTCAGACCGTAGCCAGTGAGCATGGGCGCGACGGTCATGGAGAGGAAGTGCTTGGTCCCGTCCGAGATGCCGCTCGCGCCATTCATAATAAGCCGGAGACGCCCACCCGTGAGTTCGCGAACTTTCTTAAAGACGATGTTGTCGAAGATGGTAGCGAAGGGCAGGCCGTACTTGACCATGAAGCTTTTGTAGTTGAAGGCACCCCAGAAGAGGGCCTTGACGAAGATGCTTGAGCTGTTAACCTTTGTAGCAACGCCCTTCTTGACCGTCTCCCAGACCTGGGGCACGCCGACGAGGGCGGTAGGACGGAACTCGCGCATGTCACCAGGAGAGTTCTTCATGGACGTGTCTGACAGGGTTCGAGGGTTGCCATAGCCAAGGGTACCGCCAATGAACAGCACGAGGTTCTCGAGGACGAGCTCAAATATGTGAGCCAGGGGCAGGTATGCTAGGACGTACTCGGCGCTGCTAACGCACTCCTCGACGCAGGTGTAGAGACCAGTAACTGGGGACACAGTTAGTTAACTTCCTCGTCCAACGCATGCAGAAGCTCAACTTACTCGCTGCGACCATGCCCTCGTGGGTCATTGGGACACCCTTTGGCGTTCCAGTTGAGCCGGATGTGTACATGATGCAGAAGAGGTCCTCGGGCTTGGCCTCTACAGGATCAACAGGGTTATCCTCGCCCAGCTGGCGCACCTCCTCAATGCTAAGAAGCTTCACATCTGGGTTGGCCTTCTGAAAAGCCTCGACCTCACCACCCTGGGTGAAGATGCAGTTGTCATTGTAGATGACGAACTTGAGGTTTTCGGCCTTCTTGATGCCCCCGCTTGCCGTCTTGAGCAGGTGAGGGTCCAGGTACATGGCATCTGCACTGGACTCGAGGAGGGAGTGCTCGACACCGCTAGCACCGAGGGTGTCGTATGCGGTAACGATGGACATGGA